TTACCACTGTATCAAGAATACGCCAACAGTGCTAATTATAATTTTACTACTAAGAGCAATTCTGGTAATGTTTTTCAGCGAGACTACATATTTATGAACGAACCAATGAAGTTAATGACAGCAACCTTTGGACTTAGGTGCAAAATGCATTCATCCATATGGTTAAATAGCATTTTGGGATTATAAGGGATATCACTTTGCGATGAAAATCTTAACTCCAATTACCGACCATAATTTCTAACCCTAGATCCTAATTCTGATTAATCACACTAGTTTAGGTTGGATTTTCTCTAGGTCACTTTGGCGTCGCTCAAAGGTTATCTCATCGATATCTGATATGATGCCTAAAACTAGGCCCAAAATTCAAATCTTAATTGGTTGAAACATGAATGATCATCAAGCTGACTTTTTTCAATCTCGTATGACACTTTATTATGTTTATTCTATGTTGATGTGTTGTAAATAAGCAAGCCATTTTGATATATAAAAAATCCATTTTTCTGGTTACTGCTTGCGCCATTTGTTTCAAAACTGAATCTAGCCTAAGTTAAGGCACTTTAAATAATTTAATAGTTGAATTCATGAATCGATTAAAGTTAGACCACCATTGAAAACTTGAGATCACCGGAGGTCCGCTTTGTCCTAGTATGGAACTCCTCACCAGTGCGCATCCAAGATACCGCTCACTGGGTTTGAATCCAGGACCTTCGGCCTCGTGCGCGAGCGGTGAACCGGCATCCGACGGCGTTAATGTCTAGTTTAAACCAATCCACGAAATCGCACCACCACTTTTTAATAATCATTATGTGAATCGGACGAACTTGATAATCAGTCTACGATGAACATGTTTTCTTTGAGTGTCAATCCAATCGGTAGTGTGTTAGGGATTTTTGTGGTTCGAATTTTCAAACGTCTTAGTAAGAGTAACTGAAATGGACTGAATCGGTAAACGCCGATGGATATTAAAATGACCTTACCGTGTAATTAACGTAGTGAAATGAAATTAAGTGTGAACTTTACATTCACATGGTAGCTTGATGCTATATTCATTAAATGAATTTAAAGTTTAGCAGCTGGGTATTGTTAGTCGATTTCTAGATATATAGTGCCAGAACCTAGAGGTATTTTGTTTTCATTTCATTTGTAAATGTTATCCCAGTATACATGTATGTGTGCTCACCCTCATGGTTCTTTGTAAAAATTCCTATCACAGTAGAATAGGAAAAGTGTTTTGGAGTATCGACAAGATATCTCAAACATACCCTTAAAAGTACTTAATAAATACAGTTAATTTACTGATTTATTTCTACTCCAATATGTTTTTTATTCATTTAATTAAGATTTTTGTTCATGCTACATATTCTGTGGTAGAGAACAAACCAGCTCCAGCTGAAGAGGTAATTAAGAGAAGACCCTGGATGTGGATAGGACATTCATTGCAGGAATCAACGAACCTCATTACAAGGCAAGTCCTAGCTTCAAATCCTCAGGTCAAAAGGAAAAGAAACAAACTAAAGAACATATTACGAAGTGAATTGAAGGTAGACATCAAAAGAGTGAATAGCAATGAATCATTGGGCGATTTCTTTTAAACAAAGTGTACTGTTATCTGTTAAAAAGTATAAGTGTTTTCATATTCAGAACTTATCTACCATATATAAATTTCAGGATATGAATGATTTGTCAAGTTTTATTCTACTTTTTAAATAACAACATGAAAGAAGAGAACTTTTTAATATTTCCTGGAAAAGCATTTATTTGTTCACTGACATAATATTTTTGTAAGCTGATAGTGAATTGATATGGTACAACTTTAGTGAAAATGACCAATGACGCAAACCTCTGTCTCTTAAACAAGTTAATCTGATATTAAACAGTTTGAGGCAAGTGACAAGAAGGCATTAACTAAAGTATTCGTCCTGACTGATTCTCATCAGTAGGTTTATATGAAATTTTGAAGAAACTGTTGCTCTGAAAAGCTTTTAAATGTACAAAACTCAAAATCACAACAGGAACATTACGATTTAGTTATTTCTGTCATAACTAACCTTCAGTAAAATTAAATTCATTTTAATAGTCGGTTACACAAGACCATAGTATCCTATTACCACTAAAGAATAGACAAAGAAAGACGTAGGTTATTGATCTCTGAATTATTAATTTACCGTATAGGTTACGCTATAGTATTTGGTTAATAGAACCAGCTATTTATGTTTGAAAAGGCGGTAATTCTTCATTTATGTAGTGAAGTTATCAGACGGATCTTACTATTTATTATAGGAAAAATGAAGATGAAACACCATACCATCTCCCATGTTTAATCACAGCATTAAAATTAAGTTCGGGGGAATAAAAACTAATTATGGAATTTTTAGTAAAAATGATATCATATATTTATAGTATTGAATGTCTAATGATATCATCTAGAAAAACAAACATTTAGAGTTAATGAGTGTTTAACAGTTATTATAATGTAATTTAAAGAACATAATCAGTATTGTTCAAGATTAAGTAGCAAATTATAGATATTTTAATCTATCAGAATTGTTAAATATCAACATTATCTAAGATGTAACATTGTTGAACATAATCATTCAAGGAATTAAGTAATACTGTACTGTTAATAATTAAGTCCCATAATAGGATGAAACACCCGTCCAGTGCTTCCAGGTTTTCCATGATGGTCTAGCTTCAATTGACTCATGATGTCAACCATTGAAATTATAATAACATCCATAAAACTCTTTCTGATGTTAAGTAAGTATTACTTGATAAAACGCTATTGATTTTCGATAAAAAAAATAATATAAATCATATATATTCGTTGTAACAGTTGGTAATTCATTGATAATTATGAAGATTTTTCAACAATAAATTATTCAACATATGACTATTGTCTTTAGATGAAGAATGATCAATAGCATTCATCCTGAAGTTAGGATAATTTTTAACCTATCAACATAATGATTTAAGTTATTAGTCATGGTGATTGATTTTTATTTTAAGAAAAATTGATGAGATATTTACAATTGACTACTGTTTATTAGGTCTTGTTATTAATCAATGAACATTGTTTCTACTAAAAGAAGGGATTTTCGAGATATAGACTAATTATTACTGTATTAAATAAAATAAAACATTTAAATCTTTTTGAGTTAAAATAATATAATCACTTTGTGTGAAGACATTTATTCTGAAAAAAACCTATATTAATATTAAACATATTACTTATCATTTATTAGTAAGTAGTTAGTTTGATGTTAGTGACTATTCAACTTATGATTTCAATATTTCACTCTATGGAGTTGTAGAGGCTAAATGTTGCATAAGATGGGAATGAGAACTGTACTTAGTTAAAGTAAAATGCATTTATTCTTCAAATATATATATATATATATATATATATATATATATATATATATATATATGTCTTCTAACTGAACGCTAGATTTGTTTCCTAAGCTCTTGTAGTAACTTCTAATTTAAATCTACACACCAACCTGAACAGAAATATAGAACGAACATATTACTCCAAAGGTTCGTTTGTGCACAGAAAATTTAGGGTAGTTATAGTATTTTAGATGGTCTTGGGCTTCTGGAAAATTCTGGAACGCTACTAAAAATAGTAGCAGTATACGTAATCATCCAATCAGAAACTTGACATGCGACTTTTCACTTTCTAGATGTTTTTGGCAAAACTTTTATTGAATACTGATTAGATAAGATGTTTCTCAGACTTTTCAGTCTATTTTGGCTATGCTTTGAGTTTTCTGGATCTCCCTAACAATTTATATAATTATTATGAATAAGTAATCAGAGATTTAAATTTTGGATAGCTGTGAATGAATGCTTATTGTTTATCATATGTTTCATTAAGGTTCAATCGCTTTAGTGAACTAGTTTTTTTTAATTAAATTATTAACCATAAAACAGTCCAAGAACTGTTACGGCAATAATTCACTTGGTATTGTTTACTTGAATCTTCCGATTGATGTTTAGGACTGAAATTGATCAGTCTGTTATTGGCATATGTGTATACTGTGCGTATTGCCTTGATATTGCCTTAATTTACAAGCGTTCAAGTAAAACGATACCAAGTAAATTTAAACTTCACCCTATTGCACAAGCTGGTGGCTATCAGTAGGTAAGTGGATAATGCGTTTGAAGTTGACGGTGCTTGGTTCGAATCCCAGAGTGAATATCAGCTTTGCGATGCAGATACATCCAGCTAACGAGTCCCAAATAAGACAGGATGCGCGTCCTGGATTCTACTACTAGCCACTATCCATCTTTGGTTATAATGTTACGGGAATAATTTATTGTAAAATTTCACAGAATTCTATTAATATTCATGATAATTTTTTGATTGATTTAACATATTAAATGAAATATATACTTACAACTTAAAATATTTACTTATTGAATGAAATGAATAATTTTTCTCAAAATGATTGTTAGTCATTTAAGTAATAGGAGACTATCTACCATATAAAACAATACATATGGAAATAATTAATCTAGAACATAATATTGTTTTCGATTAGATCCTCATCAGGCTATACTGTAATATGCAGTAATATTTATATACATAAACGAAATTATTAAACTAATCAAGGAAGTTTATGGGTCAATGATAACAATGGAATAGATTACATAAATAAACATAATAAGTAAAAAGTACAAATTGATACTGTAATGACAGGTGTATTAATTTTGATAAGAATAATAAAGGCTTGAATCAATGTTACATAATGAAAAATAGGTGAATGATTTGTATATACTTATAAATATTATTGTATATTAGAGTAAAACATGATGAAGATCTAATCGAAAAACAATATTATTCATTTATATATGCTGTTCTAAATTATATTATAGAATAACGGATAATTAGCAACAATATAAACAAAATTCTAATTCTACTATCGATTATTCAGTATATATATAATTATAATTGCAATAATAATAATTATTATTATAATTAATCAGTTAAAACTTACTTCCGTAACGGGTATTTCGATATTTATAGGCACTTTGTTGTTGATTATCTCCTGGCATATTTATTTTTTAAATTTTAAATCAACTTGAATCAGAAATTTTCCAATGGATTTTATTCAAAGAAAAAAGAAAAAAGGTATTTTGTCACACTGTTTATGAAACCCAACTAATCGAAAATGTAATCTCCAAAACAACTAAATTCATTATGTTTTAAATGTTAGTTAAAAGAAAGTTTCTTTTTCTCAGAATTTTTTAACAAAAACAAAATTTCCTTTTTTTTAGAAAAAACGTTTTTTCCTCCTGTTGAGTGTTTACACTTGATTTTTCATAAGAAAACAATCTTCACCACAAAAAAAAAGTTTTTTTATTTTTAAAAAGTTGAATAATCAATGAATCAATTTTGAATCAACGAAATAATTATCAATATTTTATTCAATTGATGAAGAATAGAATAAAGACGAAATTACTGAACAAAATAAATGATGAAATTTTCATTGAATTCATTTATAGTTTAATGAAAAATTTTCTAATCATATTTTTAATAAAAGTGAAAAAATTATGTTTTAGAATAAAGTACATTTTGTTTTATTTTATATAAATGAAAAGATATTATTCAATCTATTTCTGATTGGGAATACTTAACAAATTCTTATTGGTAGTTAAATACACACTTAACTAAATTAAATTAATCAATAAATTCGGATAGTATAATTTACTGCACAATTTTTGTATCTCTGTCCTTGGGCAATTGGATACAGAAATTGTAGTTATTGAAGAATAAACACATTCATATATATATATATATATATATATATATATATATATATATATATATATATATATATATATATATATGATGAAATCAATAATGTACGCGACATGCAAAAACACTTTTAGTCAATTTAAATTAAAATAGGACATTTTATTTAAATTTCATTTTTGGGAATAATTCTACCAATCGTTATGGATGTTTTTATGGAAGCTGAAAAATTGTGGATCATATTGATTTATTGACTTGTCTTCTTTATTTGTTAAGCATTTATTCACTTTTATATATTAATTTGGATAATAAAGTTTCATTCAAGAAAAGTCACTTATCTACTATTATTGGAATTATGATTATCGTACTCGAGATCTATGGCACCTGAGAACCATAAAATTTACTTTGTAGAAACATAAAGTATCACCTTATAGTTGTATATTTGGTTGCACGGCCCCATCTGATAAACACAATAAAGTAATTTATACAATCAAACAATCTGGTTTGACAGAAGTGCGAATTACTGACATATACACTGTAGAGGTGTTAGCAATTAATTTATTTAAACCTAAGCTTTATGTTCAAAAGAGCATACATGCAAGCTATTGTTCATTCATGGCTATAATACTTGATTTTCATAAACTGTAATTTAGTAAGATACTTTTTATACTTTAAATCTCTTTAATTTCAGTTATTTGTTATTATCAATTCAAGTGGACAATTAACTTTCACACATTTGATTTGAGCTTATTATCTCCAAATTTAGAATTATTAAGCAACATTCTTTGATACATAATACGATATTATTGTCCCCCTATTTTTCACTAGAAAATTTATTTGTAAATTAACTATAAATGAGGTTGTATAGATTGAGTAAATGATATTGTCAAAGAGATTTTCTTTACTGAATTATCTTTCAATAATTCTATTCGTAATATCTTAATAATCATGAAGCCCAACTATCCATTCAACTTGGAATACTCAACATCAATAATATACTATAAAATCATCTCTACTTCATCTCATTACTAGTCTCATATTCTTCATAACCATATAGATATGAACGAACATATACATATATGCCTGATTTTTAACTTTAGTAACATGATAGGATGATCAGACCTGTTTTGATTACGTTGAATATTTACTTATTTATTCTTCTATACTAATTTAACATATCCTAATTTGAAATTGGTGATTTATTCTTTGAGGAAGAGATTATAAAACTCCAAAAGTTGAATTTTTTGGTTCTCAAAATATTTCGATTACATCAATTAACTATTACTTCAAAAATGTTGCTTAGTGCTTTTATGGAAATCAAAATTCTCTATCATTTAAACAGAGGAAGCTGATGTCTGAAAATTAACAATGAATATCTTACAGTATTTGAGGATATTTTTCTATGAAGAATAGAACGGTAGTGCATGTTTTGAGCTGTTGAATAAAGCAAGGAACACACTTTTGAACTATATATTAAGTATAAAAAACCTCAATATAGGATGATAGCATAGTGTCATTAGAATAACGATAACCGGGTCTCTTTATTATTGATATATTGTTCTTAATATTATAATAAGAGTTGTTCCTGCAGTTCGCACCAATTTATTCTGTTTATTTGTCTCATTCTGCCTTTTAGAATCTATCCCTTTTTATGTTAGCTTTATAGTTCCTAATTCCCTGATGTTCCATAGTGTCTCCGAGTAATCTTCAGTTTCACCAAGTCAATTGGAGGACAATCTAGTCCCAGCCTTTCTTCCAAAACCGAAACTTGATCTGACTTCATTCAGTTACTATTCAGTATTATTTCAAAGTACTAAGCGAAATGAGTACTGTTATTCCACTCCCCGTTGATGAGTGTAAAATAATAAACCACTCGTCATAGACGACCATACAAAAGGAACAACTCTATATTTAAACTCGGAAAAAAGTCAGTCATTAATCAATCTATTGAAAAATGAACAAATCCACACTCCTCAATAAACAATATAAATAACGAAGAGTACATGAAATAAGGATATTTCAAACCCCCTAATCATTTGACAGATATCAGTTTCTTATCTCACTAAATAGATGTACAAGTGTTATAATGTTTCTCACTTATTTGTTAAATAACTTTATACGATGAGTGTGTCTAATTTTAACTTTCTTCAAAGAAGTAGGTTTTATATGAGAAGCGAATCGTTTTTACTAATTATATTGCTTTGCTTAAATCATAATAAAGATGCAGAATCATTTCGGGTTATTTTGTGAAGTTTTTTATGTAGTGCTGGATACTAGAGACATCAGCCGCATAAAATTATTTCCCTCATGTCATACCTGCTGATAAGGAAGAATGTTTTGCTCTGAGCTAACCGAAGCAAAATTATCTTGTAGTGATCATAATACATGTCTCCGTAGATGCATTAGTTCAAAATATCTCTGCAGTACTCAAATTATTTAATACTACTGATTTACCACTCATCAAATGGTACTCAATGAAGGGACGAATATTAATATTAAATACATATTTTAATGATGAGAAAAACTCTGAAACAAGTGAAAAATAAATGAAGACTCAAACTAGATGTTGTATAGAGGACAATTGTTGAAAATGAAATTGTAGAACACATATGTCAGTATACAGCTCTTTTATTATTCACTGTGTTTATGTTTGTATCTACTTAAAAGCGAATTCAAAGGCAGATATTCATTTTGTATTTTACAAAGTTATGGGGTAGACTGATAAGTCCAAGTATGAAATCTTGGATAAAATAGACTGAGTTATTTGAAAAAATAAGACACAAAGGAAGAATTAACAGTTACTAACAGTAGCTAATCCCATTTAAAGTCATGATTTACCTATGTATTTGCTAACTGAGTGTCTGAAGTAATCTGCTGAATAAGTTCTATAATCCATAGTATCCTGTTTCATTATGCATGCGTTAAAGGTAGTAAATATTCCGATGAACATTCACCGTAGAAGACGGGTACATATCAGTAGATGATCTTTCAAAATGAATAACTTGTAAATACTGACCATTAATGTTTAAGATGTAGTTCTGAAAAATCACGTTGGCCAAATGTACTCGGACAGGCATTTGTGAGAGATCATCTTTTACACATCATGGAACGCTGGTCTCCAATAACTATCTAGGTCCCAAACTATGTGCCTGAAAACCGTTGCTTCCATTCCAAACGTTTCTCTCTATTCAACTATCCTTGAATCCCATAATTACCTTGTCAGCTCTCAAGTAAATCAGATTGGGACATCAAATTTTATAAATTCAAGCCCTTCTCATGTACTTTGTTTAATTAACTCACCAGAGAGGCATGATATGTAGATGTGAACACGTTTTGATCATATAAGGTGGTATTAAAGCACAAATTCATTAGGTTTTCTGTTTGAATTAAGGAAGAAAGAGAGAATCAGTTTACTGAGGAACAGACCCAGAGTCAGAAATGTCGTGGAACAAATAACATTTAGTGTAGACTGCCGAAGTTTCACTAACCTCAATTTTATGAGAAGAGAATATTTTGATTGTAATCCAGTCAGAAAAGCAACGCTGAACTGAAGCCAAATTATTTGTGGAACTAAACATTCGAGAGTTTATCACAACAGGCGAAAGTCGGTGATGGCGAACGTCGATTGATGAAGGAATATCGTAGAGTCGGTGTCTGAGGCAGCAAAGCCCCACCATACTTTTTTGCCATCTAATCTTCGTCCGTTCGTATACGCGATTAACTAGAAAGATTTCATTTATTACCTATGGATACTGTCGTAACAAGATGACTTTGGCACCATATTGAAACAGGTAAGACTAAAGAGTAATGAAATGTCGTGTAGCGGTAAATGATTCCCCAAAATCAAATAGCTCTGTAAGTTTTCGACATTGGATACTGACCACAGTTTTAGTGGACTCATCTAGCTGAAGGCGCTCGGTCAAGCATCCGCACCAGATCACGTGTGGGAACGCCGTGCTCAACATCTGCCGCAATCGCTAGCCAGATTAGTGCAAACGATCCTCGATATATTGATAGCTTATCAAATATATCTTCGATCTCCTCACTTCTGTCTTTTGATTTTACTTGGTGGGTGCGCTTCGTATTAGAAGGTGTTACTGGTTAAAGCGTTGTCAAACTCCGAATACCTGTGGCATCTTCATTGGTGAGACCGACGTGATCTGGTACACCAAATTGCAAACTGTGAGTGTGTTCCTTTTTGTGATTTTATATATTGTTGTCTTATTTTAATCTTTTTTTTAAACATTGTGATATTTTTTCCCCGTGTTTATGGGTTTATATATATATTTCCCACTCGTTC